GACACCACGAGGAGGGACGAAGCCCTGAGGGAGGTCCTCCTGAGGGACCTCGGGGGGCGATGCGCCAGCGTGACCGGGGCGGCTGCGTGCCCGAGAGAGGGCAGAGAGCGCGAGCTGAAGGCGCTCAGCTGCAATGAGGGTAGACTCCTCCAAGTGATAGTGGACGGCCTCGCAGAGATCGAGGTCGTCACTGTGGTCGCCCTCAGATGACAGTGGGGCAACAGCGTCCTGCTCACCATACTCCAGCGTGCTGAAGCGGCGCGAGAAGTGGCGGCCCTACTGCGTGGAACGGCGGGGGCGACCGCGGAAAGGGGAACGGCGCTGGGAAGTGCCGTGAGAGGAGGAGGAGGAGTAGCCCGTGCGCTGGGGCTGGGAGGAGGAGGCGGGGTGAAGACGAGCTCGCATCCGCTGGTGATCCCTGGTGGCCTCGTAAGCCTGTGGGGCCGATGTGAACTCGTACCGCCATAGCTCGGAGCGGTACTCAAGCGGAAGGCTGGCCAAGAAACGATCGATAAGGGCAACCTCGGGGAGAAACGCCACGTCGCAAACGAGGCGGGCGTCCTGAAAGACCTGGATGTGGCGATCCAAGCCGGCAGCGCCACCAGAGCCAGACCAGCGTGTAGTGACGACACGCTCGAAGGCTTCAGTCACGTCGTATCGGGCTCCGAAGTGATCCTCGAGGAACGCCTGGAAATCCACGAAGGTCGGAGTCCGACCCTCACGAAGGGAGTAGGCATAGAAATCCTCCCAGGCCTCGAAAGGACCGCCACGCAGGCGCGTTGAGAGKTGACYCACCTACGTCTCGGGTGTGGCGCCCATGAGCTGGAGTGTGCGGGTGGCCGACTGCAGCCACCGAGACACGCGTATGCCTATACCGTCATACAAGGCAATGTCCGACAAGCGGATGAGTGGTGCGCCACCGTAGTGGCGGCGAGGGGATCGAGGAGCGGGGGCCTCTGCTACGGCTGAGTAAGTCGGCGCAGGTCCTGAGGAAAGGGGCGCAGCTGACTGTGCGCCCGGGCTGCATGGGGGAGCGGCGGTGGCAACAGCGGCAGGATACGAGGGTGCTGCGGTAGAAGAGGTCGCAGCAACCGCGGGAGTAGGAAGAAGGTAGGAAGGAGTTGTATAGGGTGCAGGGCGCGGAAAGCGAGCCTGCATGGGAGGAAGGGTAGAGGAGGTAGGGGGTGCGCCCGAAGGCGCGGCCACCTGTGAGGGTGGGGGTGGCTGAAGGCGTAAGAGGGCGAGGTTGGCCCGGAGCTGGGCAATCTTGTCCTCGAGACCTCGAACGTAGGTGGTGCGAGGGGTAGCAGGGGGAAGAGTGGAGGAAGTGGATGCACAAGCGTCACGGGGCATCCCAGAGGGGGGAGAGCCAGGTGGCGCTGCGGTCGTGCGAAGGGCGGGGAGGAGCGGGGCACCCGGAAACGCTGAGACCATGGTAACGGGTTGTGGTCCCGTGGCCATCGTAACCGGAATCTGGGCCGGTGCGCCCGTAGACTGAGGAAGGGCCTGACTCGTGGCGGCCTTTGAGCTAGGGGCGTGGACGGTCACCAAAATGGTCGGGTCGGGGGCGGCAGAGGAGGAAACTCTGTCGTGGCCACCCTGCCGGAGAACTGGGGACCCAGACTGAGAGCCAAGAGAAGAGAGAGGATGAGGAGAGGAAGGACGACCAGCGTCCTGGAGTTGCTGCACGCCAGCGGCAAGGGTCGCCACCTGTGCCTGTAAGGGCCCGAGGGTCGCGAGTTGCGCCTGGATGGGCGCAAGGAGGGAGGTGAGGAGGGTGTGTAGATCCCCTTGGGGCTGATGGCCCTGGTCCGCCGGCACGGGTGTGGAGACCGATGTCGTGGTCATCGCCGTGTCGACGGCGTGTGACGCACCGTCGGCCATGGGGAGATGACGGACCGGAATGGAGGGGGCCAGAAGAGGTCCGCGTGAGCGGAGGGCATACGGGGAAGTCC